ACGGAGGAGGGACCGGGTTGGGTAGGGGGGTGGGGGGGCGGAATCTCTGGGTGGAGCTCTGGGCTGGGAGCTCCCCTCCTGGGTGTCCTCCTGAAAGGGCTGGGAGCCTCCTGGGTCTCCAGATCACTACAGCCCGGAGGGTCGTGAATATTTAATGCTAACGAGTATCGCTTTCAGAGCAGGGCACTTACCCCGCGCAGGCCATGTTCTGAGTGCTTTACGCAAGTTACCTCTGTGCTCCCAACGATGCTGTGAAGCAGGGCTATGCTGCCCGTTTCTCAGACCAGGAAACTGAGGCTTAGAGGGGTTAAGTCACTGGTGCTAGGAGCGTGCAGCCGGGAAATGGCAGGGCCAGGGTTCCAAGCCAGGCAGTCTGGCTCCGGAGCCCGTGCTACGTGACCACCGCACCACGCTGCCACTGTCACGAGGTAATGAGGAGTCGCCAAGGGGCCATCGCCACCACCAGCGTGGCTCCCAAGTGTAACACCCTGGCCAGATGCCAGGCCCTGGTGGAGGGCTTTAGACACCCAGGCTGGCCGTCAGTGGATACTCTCAATGTCCCCATCTTACAGACGGGGAAACTGAGGTTCTGAAAGGGAGTATGTCCCAGGTCGCTTAGCAAGGAAATGACAGAGCGGGGACCTGTCCCTAGCTGCATGTCTCCTTTGCCCAGAAAGGCTGAGGGTGGGAAACCAGGACAGCAGGAGGTGACAAGGGCCTGGGGCAGGTGGGATGTGGCCTAGCCTTCTAAAAAAGTCTCTTGGCTTGATGCCCGGGGCTCAGAGAGATTACTCTGTGATGGTGAGCACTTCGCACGTCTGATCTTGGCAAGCCCTCGAGTCGCTGCTACATAGCTGGTTACCTTATGGACACCGAACAGAGGGGAGACTGAAGCTCAGAGGGGTCAGCGCCTCAGCTGAGGCCTCTGTGAAGAAGGGGCTCCTTCCTCCTCATCACTCAGGTCCCTGCTCTGGTGGCCTGTCCCCAGTAGTGGCTTCCTGACCTCTGAACGCTCCTTGCGGGCCACCTCGAGCAGGACCGAGCATCCTGGCTGTGGAATTCCTGCCCCAAAACACACCCCTGGGACCCCATCGCGAGGAGACGCGGGTCACCCCAAACCGAGGGGGGCCCTGTGGCACAAGTGGCCTGATGGCCACAAAGCCATGCCATGCGGGACAGAATTGCTGCTCCACATGACAGGAGATGAAAGATACAGGTCAGCTGCAGACGACTCGGGAGCCCGAGTGCCGGTGCGGGAGAAAAACAGCTACGGGGACATTCTCAGGACGACTGGGGACATCGGAGGATGGTCGTGGGTTGCAGGCCAGGACTGCACCCTGGCTGGATTTTCCCGAGTGTGACTGTAGACAGGAAAACGTCCAGTCTCAGGAGATACCTGCTGTGTGTCCCCCGCAGGGACAGAGGCGCATCGTGTCTGCGGCCGACCCCCAAACGTTCCATCAGTAATGGCAGAGGCAACGGCGTGTGCCCGTACAGACTGATGGCAAACGTGGCCGGAGCATGTCCTGAAAGGTCCTACGTGTTCTCTGTCCCAGTCCTGCGACTTCTCCATAGACTGGCCGCGTTTCAGAATAAAAAGGTCAAAGAACGGAGGGCACCTGGGTGGCTCGGGGGTTAAGCGTCTGACTCCTGATTTCGGCTCAGGTCATGCTCTCACGGTTCGTGAGTTCGAGTCCCGCATCAGGCCAGGGCAGGGCCCGCTTTAGATCCTCTGTCCCTCTCTCTCTCCCCCTCCCCTGCTCACACACTCTCTCTCAAAACATTAAAAAAAAAAAAACCCCAAAAG